ATATTTCTCTCTCTCTCTCTCTCTCTCTCTCTCGTTCTTTCCACTCCCCCCTCTCACTTCTCTCATCTTCTCTCTTTCTTTCACTATAATTTTCTGTATCTTGAAATAAGAGTGACTGAATTCTTTCGTTTACGCTATTAACAATTCTTCCAATGCTCGTAGTCGCAGTTGTAGCGATACAATATGATATTCATCCAGTGTTTGTATTATAACGAAAGATTCATTATTTTCGTAGTGAAATTTTCGCGATACGCGCGCGAATGTTTTCTTTTTAATAAGTACGAAACCGTAATATCTTGTACAAATAGTATTTATATTTTATAATCAACGGCAATAATGAAGAAAGGTACGGAAGCCGGGAAATTCTCTTAATTGGAAATAACATTTATCCAGCTCCCGTGCGTGGAATACTCCTCTCCTCATCCATCTTCCGAAAATCTTTCGGAAAATCTTCGCTGATCCCATCCGTATGCTTCGATACCCTCTAACATTGGAGTAAAAGATAATATGCTGCGCGTTCCTATCGATGACTCTTTATATATCTTGTGTCGAGGTTTCGATATTCGTCTCTCTGCCGAAAAATTATTCTTCCATGATTATTCCAGATTTTGCGTCGCGTTTTTGGAGTATACGAGTTCATACGTATTTATATGTAGAGTCGTGGATTATATCTTACAAGGTGCATCGGCAAATAAATACTTATAGATTTAGCTTAAAAAAATCAAATTTGTTATCTTGTGTACCGCAAAGATATGCATAAGTAATTCGTTCAAAATGGATTGGCAATATGTATGGCTCATATGTCAAATAATCGAACCGTGTATAGAGAGTGCCAATAAAGCGGCAAGCGTGTGCGCCATTCTTTTTGTAGTGATATTAATAAATTAAGGATTTCCTAAACAAATTCATGCGAGAGAAATGTCAATGGTGGCGAACTGTTCCACCTTAAAGAAAAATCCGTCAAATGCGGATTTGAACAGATTTACGAACGAATAGATCGATAATAAACGTAGCGGCATCGCGTAATGCTCAGGCTAGCATTAGTATTAGGAAGAACTAGTGAGAACTAGTCATCAGAGGCTGCTAATTAGAGACAAGGTGGATATTTAATATCGTTTTATCGGATAATAACCGCTTAATTATTTAAATATGTTATGTTAAAACTAAAGACGTAGGGAGTAGTTATCGCGTGAACAAATAAGCATCGAATATGATTATTGCGAATAAAGTCCAAACATTGTACAAAGTTTTTCATCGACAATGTATATTTAAAAAAATGTATAAAATAAGAAATTATTACTACTACTACGCGCTAACTTGTATTGTAAAAGATAGTCAGTTAAATTAATAACAGTCCAAATTTTCCGTCATTCATCTTATGTGAACAGAATATTTCTCGTATACTCATAAAACGATAAAATTTTTTTGAAAAAGTATCTCTAATTCACAAAAACTCTTTTTTTTTATATTCAAATAATGCTGAAAGATATTTGGATCTGCTTTCGTTATCATCCATAACCGAAAGAACATAGGTAATGAGAGCTAACAAAAAAAATTAATTTCTTTAGAAATGAAATGAATTTTGCTCAATAATTTTGTTTGTTAAAACATCTATAATTAAAAAACACGAATTACTCGTTTAAATACCCAATGTTGCTCCATAAAAATATTCGAAAAACAATTATCCTAATTAATTTAAAATAAATCAATAATTATGTATACATACATACGAGAAAAAATATAAGATATCTACTTTAGAATTCTAGATGTAGATATCGTATATTACTGTTTGCGTTTATTTCCTTGAGAAAAGAAATATATGAAGAAAGTGCGAATGTGCGGACACATCGTATAAAGCAGAGAGGTCGAAATAGAACCAGAGATAGAAGATGTGAAGGTGTCATGTGGATACTTAAAGAACATTTTGTTACTCGAATCATGAAAATAAGATCACTGATCGGCCAAATGTTTTATTTTGCTAGCTCCTTTCCCATTATTAAATCGATGAGTGTTGACCCTTAACTTGTGATGAAAATTAAGACAATTCGTGATGAAATATTTCTGACTCCTTACTTTTCTCAAATTTTTGATGATTTTTAAACAAATTATTTTTATTAGTCATTTTACGTAACCTGAGAATACTAATCTTGTTAAGGGTCAATTTATGATTTCATTGATCTTACGAACATATATTTGGTTACGGAATTCCTCTGATCAAAAATAAATGTAAATTTTTTATAATATAATTTTGTTCAAATGTTATTGAAATAATATCAATTGATCTCTGTATGTCTAATATTGTTATTATTTTTTCAAATCTAATAATTTAGTCATTTCTTTATTTTTCCAAATTATGCTTAAATCAATTAACAATAATACAAATAGAATTAGGATTTATCAACAAACAAAAATTATTAACAAACAGTATTATGAAATGGGATAAAGTGTCATGCACATTATTTGTCGTTAAAGTCGTGATTAATTCGCTGAAATACATGACTTTAAACATAAACAACGTGCACGGCTTTTTATCTCATTATTACGAAGCCTAATTTTATAAATTGTTTAATTTGTTTAAAAATTTCTGTAATTAATTATAGAAATTCTGAAATAAATTGAATAATTTTGTAACATTTTTAAAACAAGCACATATAGAAGAGTACGTTCCAAGAAAATTTCTGAACTACTACAAAAGGAAACATCCTATCAATCGGTTCGATGATAACGATAGTAAATATGCATTAATAAATCAATAATAAATACAAAATTATATTAATATTCTTGCTAAATGTACTTTCAATGCAGTTGATTATATTACATAAAACATCATTATTACAATTGCAACGACGTGTTAAATATTACGAGATTATTGCTTACTCTCCTACTATTATTAATATTATTAATAGAATTACTATACTATCTTACAATTATTGCTACTACTATTTCTACCATTAGCATTACAACTAACACTATTATTATTAAGAAACTATTAGTATCATTATTATCATAACTATAAATATAACAGCTATTGCTATCATTACTTCTACAACAATTACTATTACTATTATTAAAGTTATTACTGCTCTGCTGCTAATATTAATATTATCACCACTACTATAATTACTATTATTACTGCTATTACTGTGCTGCTCCTACTACTACTACTACAATGCTTCTATTACTACTATTACTACTACCACTAATACTACCACCACCATTACCACCACCACTACTACTACTACTATTACTGCTACTGCTACTACTACTACATTACTACTATTACTGCTACTACTAATTCTACTACTACCACCACCACTACTACTATTACTACTACTGCTGCTGCTACTACTACTACTACTACTACTACTACTACTACTACTACTACTACTACTACTACTACTACTACAACAGTGCTTCTATTACTACTATTATTACTATTATTACCACTATTACCATTACTACTACTACCACTACCACCACTACTACTACTACTACTACTACTACTACTACTACTACTACAACTACACTACTACTACTACTACTACTACTATTACTACTACTACTACTACTACTACTACTACTACTACTATTACTACTACTACTATTACTACGTACTACTACCACCACTACTACTACTACCACCACTACTACTACTACCACTACCACTACTATTACTACTACTACTACAACTACAACTACTACAACTACTACTACTACTACTACTACTACTACAACTACTACTACTACTACTACTACTACTACTACTACTACTACTATTACTGCTACTACAACTACAACTACACTACTACTACTACTGCTACTACTAATTCTACTACTATTACTACTACTACTACTACTACTATATTATTGTTACTCCTACCGTTATTAGTATTATTATTAATACTATTATTACTATAATAATTAATATTAACGTTATTATTAACTTTTTCACTATTATCGAAAATAGCACTACTATGATTATTACTATTGTTACGATTATTGCTATCATTACCTTTACTACTACTACTGCTAATATTAATACTGCTGCTACTGCAACTATTACTATTTCTATTATTACTATTACTATACTATTACCATCACTACCACCATCACTATCACTACTACTGCTACTGCTGCTATTATTACTATTAAAATTACTACTACTACTACTATTATTACTATTACAACGATTACTACTACCATCACAATCACCACCATCACCATCTTTATAATTAATACTATTCTATTGTTATATATATAACTTCTACCACACACAATTGTAATTAGTAGCGTTATTTACAACTAGTACTATTGTACTAGGTAAGATAATTATTATTAGTATTATTATATGGATCATCACTATTACCACCTCTAATACTGTCGCTTTTGCTAACATGTTACTGTTATACTTAACATCAATTATTATTTCTTTATCTATTGCTCTTACTTTTCTTCGTCTAACCATTATCAACGTCGCATTGCCAGTATGAATATGTAATATAATTAATATTTATTAAGATATTTTGAGCCATATTAATTGTGAAAAAAATAAATATTGAAAGTATATTCAAGTCGCTAAAGTTAGAAATTATAATGTACACGGGACGGTTCGAAATTAGTATGTTCAAAGATATAAAAATAGTAGCATTAAAAAATCGCTACATTACACATTTTTTTTTAAATCGTGGTGATTTAAAATTACTAACAAATAGTTCTGAAATTTGAACACAATGCTATATACGAGTACATTTTCAAAGATATTGCGTATACGTTTAGAAAAAAAAAAGAGTGGTTCGGGATAAGTACACCGTAAAAGTTTTGTTTCTTCCAAAATGCATTAAAAAAAACAGAGAAAATATGTATTTAT